TGTCGTAGCCGCGCAGCTCCTCGGGCGTGCTCGTGGCGCTGCTGCTGTGGCCCGCCAGGTCCGGGCCGCTCAGCGTACTGGACGGGCTGCGCGAGGGCGGCGGCGGTGGGCCCGGGGCCAGCGCCAGGGTCAGCCGTGGACCCGGCAGAGGGGCATCGGGACCCGGGGTCGGCGGGCGGCGAAAGGCCTGCAGAGGGGGTGAGGCCGGGGGAGAGGGCGGGGCCTGCAGAGGGGGCAAGGCCAGGGAAGGCGGAGCCTGCGGCGGGGGCGCGGCCAGGGGAGAGGGAGTGGCTTGCAGAGGGAGTGAGGCAGGAAGAGAGGGCGGGGCCTGCAGAGGGGGCAGGGCCAGGGAAGGTGGAGCCTGCGGAGGGGGCGTGGCCAGGGGAGAGGGAGGGGCCTGAAGAGGAGGTGCGGTAGGGGGAGAGGGAGGGGCCTGCAGAGGAGGCAAGGCCAGAGACGGTGAAGCACGCGGAGGGGGCGTGGCCAAGGGAGAGGGTGGGGCTTGCAGAGGAGGTGAGGCAGGGCGAGATGGAGGGGCCTGCAAAGGGGGCGAGGCCAGAGAAGATAGAGCCTGTGGAGGGGGCGTGGCCAGGGGTGAGGGAGGGTCTTGAAGACGGGGCGAGGCCACAGAAGGTTGGGTTTGCAGAGGGAGCATAGCCAGGAAAGAAGGGATGGCCTGCAGAGGGGGTGATCCTGGAGAAGGTGGAGCCTGCAGAGGGGACATGGCCTGAGGAGAGGGAGTGGCCTGCAGAGGTGGTAAGGTCAGGGAAGGTGGGGCCTGTATAGGGGGCAGGGACTGAGGAGAGAGAGGGGCCTGTAGAGGGGGCGTGGTCCTGGAAGGTGGAGTGTGTGGAAGGGGCGTGGCCAGCAGAGAGGGCGGGGCCTGTAGAGGGGGCAGGGTCAGAGGAGAGGGAGTGTCCTGTAGAGGGGACGTGAACAGGGGAGAGGGAGGGGCCTGCAGAGGCGGTGAGGCCAAGGCAGCCGGAGAGCCTAGAGGAGGAGGACCCTGCAGAGAGAGCGTCGTCAGAGGAGAGCGAGAAGCCTGCGGAGGGTCCTGTGTGGGAGATGTAGCCAGTGTATAGGGCGTGGCCTGAAGAGAGGGCGGAGACAGGGAAGGACCGGCCCGCGGAAGGGGCGTGGTCAGAGCGGAAAGGGCCTCCAGACGGGGTGTGGCTAGGGGGGAAGGCGGGTTCCGCAAAGATATTGCTTGAGACAGAGGGGTTTGTAGAGGGGGCGTGGCTGGTGGTAGAGGAGCCGCCAAAGGAGGTGTGGCCAAGGGAGAGGGGACAGTCAGAAGATGGGGCAAGGCCGGAGAAGCCTGGGTGGGGGGCATACTCTGCAGAGGGGGTGACACTGATGGAGAGAATGGAGCCAGAATGGTGGCGGTGGCCAAAGGAGAGGCGGATGCCTCGGGAAAGGATGTACCTAGATGTGTGGGTGGAGCTTGCAAAGGAGGTGTGGCCGGCGGAGAAGGGAGGGTCTGCAGAGAGGGTGGAGCAGAGGGAGAAGGCGGGGCTAGTGGAGGGGGCGTGGCCAAAGGGCAAGTGAGGACCTGGGAAGGGGGCGTGGTCGGTAGAGACAGAGGGAGCGTGTCCGGGAGAGGTGTGGCTGTGACATGGGGAGGCAGTGCGGGCTGTGCAGTCGCACGAGGCGGAGTGGGTGTAGCCAAAGGAGGAGAGAGGCCCTGCCCAGGGTCTGTGCCATTCTTTGGAGGTGTGGCCTGCGGGGGGCGCAGAGCCTGCAGCCCTTTGGACTTGAGCTGCGAGGGGTGCCCCAGAGCCCGGGGTGTTCCACCCAGCGAGGCCCCGGAGCGTGCTGGGGAGGACAGAGGGGTGGCGCTGGAGCCCAGGGGGCGCGAGGCTGGCCTCTGGAGGCCCCCACCAGCGTTGGGTCGCCTCCTGGCGGCGGGGCTCGGCTCCGCGGCGCTGCTCACTGATTTCCTGGGGGCCTCGGTCGGGGGTCGAGGCCGGGCACTTGGAGCTGCCCGGGGGACACCGCCCTCAGCGCCTGCAGCCCGGGACCGACGGGAGATGGCTGGGGAGGGGGCGCTTGGAGTGGGCCCAGAAGAGTCTGGGGACAAAACAGAAGGCCCAAGGGTTACCAATATTACTGAGCTGGTCCCCCTCACTGCCCAGGAACCCCACTCCTCCCCAGGTCACGCACCTCTCCGAGCCCCGGCGCTCAGGGCGCTCCTTCTGGGCGCTTCTGGGGCTTTTCCTCTGGCCACAGGTTCCTCAGCTGGGGGCCGGAGCCCCTTCTGCCCAAGAGGGCCTAGCCTGGGGACAGAAGGGGCCATGCTCAGGGCAGAGCCCCAGCTCCTTCTTTCACCTCCCAAGCCTACACTTTCCCATCTGTGAAATGGGGCATATGCCTTCTCTGTGGACCAATAATGGCTTTCACACAATGTGCGCCCAGCGATCTGCAGGTACTCCCACGCCCCAACTGATGTGTAAAATTAAAGGTTCCAGATAGTGACACTAACCCTGTCTGGGGAACCTGGGGGTGGCGGGGCGTGTTACCTGGCGGTCCCGCTGGCACGCCCCGGGCTAGAGACAGAGACCGGGCTGGAGGTCTTGGCAGGGGTCCGCTCCCCTCTCCCAGCCGCTGGGGCCCTGGAGGCTGCGGGGAGAAGGCCCAGTCAACGCGGTGCCCGGGAAAGGAGGGGGAGGCTGGAGCCTCAGAAGGAAAGGGGGGCAGGAAGATGGGGTCTGAATCGAGGAAAGAGGCTGGGGTACCTGGGCTCCGGGGTCCTGTCCCGGCGCTCCGCGCTGGTCCCACCCGGGGACCAGCCTCTTGGAGAGCGGCTCCCCGGATGCCCCCGGCTCGCTCCGCCAGGGGCCCTCGCCCCGCAGCTGCCGCTGCTCCCAGAACTCGGAGGGCCGCGCTGGTTACTGGAGGAGGGGGTCGAGGAGACCCTGGGGGCCTGGGGGTCGGAAGGCCAGGAGGGCGAGAAGCTGGCGTCCGCGCAGCGGCCCCTGCCCTGGCCTTGTCCCTCTTATCCATCCCGCACCTGAGGAGGAGACAGACCGATCAGCATCCCGGATTCGGGACCGCTACGCTGCCTGCAGGGACCTGGGTCCTGTCACCTCGCTGCCCCTTCCCCAGCGTCGCCACTCATGGGCGCCCAAACCTCGGCCTCGATCCACTTCCCTCCCACTCACCCCTACACCCTCTCACGAGCCCAGCTGCTCATGGTTGTCCCCCAGTCCCACCCCCACCGCCCGCCTCCAGGCCTTGCCTGGTCCAGCCCACCCCCCTCTCTCGCCTCTGCTTCCTTTCAGGACCCCAGATCCACGCCCCACGCCTCGCCCCCTCAGAGACCCAGACGACCAGCCTCGGGGACAAGGGGCGGCCACAGGCTCCGGATGAGGGGGACGGGAGCGCACGCCCGGGTCCCCTCGCCAGACCCGGCGCCCTCCCCGGACCTCCCGGAGGGATGCCGGCACCTGCCGGGAGGAGGAGCGGCCCCGGCTGCCCGCGAACGGGCTCAGGGAAACAAAGAGCCGCGTCCCGAGCCCGTCCCCCTCCCCCAGCCGGCCCCTGGTCCGCGCGGCCCCCTCCACCTGCTGGTGCGGCGCTCACCTCCGGCTCCGGCTCCCGCCGCTCCACACTGGGTCGCCCGGGGTGGGGCTGGGTGGCAGCTCCGCGGCGGCCGCGAGCGGCGGGAAGGCGAGGGGAGGGGGCTGCGGGCGGCGGCGCCGGGAGCCGGGTCCGCCCCTCGACCGCGGGCGGGGGAGACGGGGGCGCGCGCGCGCGATCCAGACCCGGGAGGCGGCGGGAGCGCGCTGGGAATTAGGGAACGCGCGTTGGAGGGAGGGGCGGCTTCTCCGCGGTCCCGCGAAGGCCTGTGTCCGCGGCTGCGCCTGAGGACCCCAGACATCCCACGAGAGGGGGTTCAGGGGGAATCCTTGGGGTCCCTGACCCTGCCTCCCCGCCTACCCGCACACACACACCTGCCCAGGCCCCCCATCCAGCCACCTGGCGACCAAGGCCTGCCTGGACGCGGATAGGCTGGGCCCTGGCAACCAGGGGGCGGGACCATCGCGCCCCGGGCCCAATCTACCAATCCGGCGGATCCGTGTCCTGGTCCCTGTCCCCGCCTTCGCGACCGCGGAAGCCGGGCCCCCCGGGGTCCCTGGGGCCTCCACCCATCTCATATCCGAAGGCTTTTCCCAGACCCCAGAAAACCCCCTACCTGACTGAAGGGAGAACTACTGGGAGAATGCAGCCCTGGGAATTTAGGGGTAGACCCCGGATTTGGGGGAACATAAGGGAAGGATGGGAGGGAGGGAGAGAAGTGAGCCAGCCTTCTGCAGGGTGGGGCACTGCCCCCCTCCACACCCTCCTAGGTCACAGGAAGGGGCGAGATCAAGTCAGCAAAGGCTTCCTGGCAGAGCCTGGCTTTGGGAGGCCAAGATTATGGGGGGCTGGGAGGTGTCAAAATGGGGGCATGAAGGTGCAGAAACGATCCCATCGGTGGTTTCCAGCCCAGCCGGCGGCAGTGGGAGGTGTCATTTTGGTGACTTCGCCAGCTGGTGCAGGGGTCTCAGTGGAGGGCCTTGATGGGGGACCGAGGAGGTGGAAGTGTGAAGAGGGGGATGGCCAACTTCAGCTGCCCTGCGCTTCCGACTGACACCAGGAGCCCTCCTGCACCTCCACGTCCCCCGCACACACTGTGCTTTCAGCCTCGATGCCTCATCTCTGCAGACTCTTAGCCACCCCATACCCCATCCCAAAGAGCCAGCTCCCTCTGCCCCACCCCTTCCCCCATCACACCCACACACGAGCAGCTCATCCTCGCGTGGAGATTCCCCCCCGGCCCCCGCCAGGGGGCTAACGTGCACAGGACAGGGAAGGGTGGCACTTGACACCTGGGTGAACCTGAGCTGGGAGGAAGGAAGATAGACTTAACCAGGGTGTGGCTGGAAGCAAGGGTTTGGATTTTCTGGCTTCAAGAGTTGTACCCACAGTTGAGGTTCCGGGAATGGAAGAAAGAAAAAGATGGCGAGATCAGAACCGAATGTCCTGCTTTGGCCGGTGGCGGCTAATCTTCAGAACCCATCCTCTCCATGAACCCTCCCTTCAGCCTGGGAGGGTGCCCTCTCACAGCCCCCCAGGGCACTGCCCTCTGGATTGGGTCATTCTCAGCCTCATCTCCTCCCCAGGTCTGCCCAGTGTCGCCTGTGTGAGCGCCTTCTGGCATGACAGCAGCCTGGTTCCCCTGCCTGCCCACCCACACATTCACCAGCAGCGTCCTCCTGCCTTCTATGGTGCAAGGTCCCTCCAAGGCAACACTGAACCCATCCTGCATTTCATTGGGATCTGGACACTGCCCACTTATAAAAACACCCCTCAAATGTCCATCAACAGGGCGGTGGAATACGCAAACCAAGTATGTCCTACAATGGAATACCCCTCATCAATAAAAAGCAACGCACTACTAAGACACTCAAAACAGGGACAAATCTCAAAAACGCTCTGCTGAGCAAAAGAAGCCAAACACACACACACACACACACACACACACACACACACACACAGAGCATGCTCTGTATGATTCCGTTTCTATAACTTTCTAGAAAACACAAGTTAATCTATAGTGACAGAAAGCAAATCAGTGGTTGTTGGGGGGCCAGTGGGGGAGGGAGACTGTTGAACCACCATTGTAGTCACTATGTGAGACAATAAATGCTCGTTGTTTTCAGCAGCTGAGTTTTGGGGTAATTTGTTACGCAGCAACCGGTAACTACCTCAGGTTCAGAACATCTTAAAAGCTGAGTATTAAATAAGTGTTGGCAAGAATGTGGAGAAATTGGAATCTTTGTGCACTGTTGGCAGGAATGTAAAATGGTGCAGCCACCGTGGAAGACAGTATGGTGGGTCCTCAAAAAATTAAACAGGGAATTACCGAACGATCCAGCAATTCCACCCAAGAGAATTGAAAGCAGGGACTTGAAGAGATGTTTGTACACTCATGCTCGTGGCATCATGATCCACAATGGTCAAAAGATGGAAGCAACCCAAGTGCCCATTGAGAGATGAATGGATAAACACAATGTGGTCCATCCATACGATGGAATGTTATTCAACCATAAAAAGAAAGGAAATTCTGACACAGGCTACAACATGGATAAAACGCGAAGACATGATGCTGGGTGAAATAAACTAGACACAAAAGGACAAATACTGTCTGATTCCACTCACAGGAGGTCCCTAGAGGAGTCAGATTCATAGAGACAGAAAGTAGGATGGTGGGGGCCAGGGGCTGGCGGAGGGAAATGGGGACTTGTTTAATGGGCAAAGAGTTTCAGTTTTGTGATATTAAAAATGTTCTGGAGGG